CAGGGCCCCTATGTATATATTGAACATCAATTATCGCCTCATTAATATGCTGTACATCCTATGAATATCTATCCAGTCGCAAAGAGTGAGTTGGAAGCAAACTAATTGTCAGTTTAAAAGTCGATGCTTGATTCCGAACTGGTCCCTCATAATCATAGTGTTGCAAACATATATTCGACAGTGAAATTCAGCAGCACTAATGATTCCATTTGCTGTATCAGTTAACATGTGTGCACGAATGAATTATCAAGAAATTATATTCCTGCACCTTTTTTTTGGTACACACCTGTATCCCTATTTCATGGATCTCTTGAATAAGGAATAATTTACGTCTAATTGTGACATTTATATAAAGTATTACGGAGCAGAGTATCTATTAATTTTAACACTTAATCGTGTCTAAAAAGATTAAATATCACTTTCAATTGAAAAAAAAAATACAACAAAAGTATATTCATGGTTTTTTTTTCATATAAAAATCTATCTTAAAAAATAACCAACGATTTTAAGATTATTCAAACTTCTATGATTCCAGGTAAAATTTGTCTGATCAGAGACTACTAGCTAGCTATTCTAACCTCCATACTTGTGCTTGATGGCAAGTTTCGTAAAATTGAAGGGGCTCGAACTGATATACACGTACAAACCAAAATGCAAATGTACCAACCCTAGTATATCAGTAACTAGTGTATACTACATAGGCTCTTCGCAGAATGATTAGGGTATACGTTGACAAAATTTTAAATAGTTAAGGTGATGCATTTTAAGATATTGTCTGCTGTTTTTTTTTCCTTGATACAAACATCTTTTGTCAGAGAAAATCATATAGTAAAAGTATTATGAACGTTAAACTCTTTTAGTATTGAACAAACTGTATATGTAGAATTTGAATTGGAGACCACTAGTTAAAGTTGGAATAACTTTATATATACTAGTTGATCAATGTTTATACCGTATGGTAGCCGACCGGGCCGAACACTTGAAAGGCCGACCGGGCCGAACCCGCAGAAACTAGTCCGATTAACCGTGCCCGCCAACCACTCGTACACGACTAAAACGTTTCGGTGTGGTCGGCCAAGCCAGCGCATCTGTCAGAACGATTACGAAAAGCTTAATTACCGTAATCTATCGGATTAACCCCCTAATTTTCCGGGGCCCAATCCTTAATCGCAGCCCAATACGAACACCTATAAATAGAGCCTCAACGAGGTACGTAGTTAGTTTTTCACCTACCGCATTTATTACGCCGACCACTAACTTGAGCGTCAGAGTGTCTTTGCAGGCCCCCCCTACACTTCGGACTATTCGGAAAAGAACAAGAAGACCGAGACCTTCGACCTGAGACCCAACTCGCTACAACAAGGATAATTGGAGTGTATATCCTAGCACAGGAACAATGTTAGTAGGAATTGTGTACTTTTAACTCTTTGCAATTTCAAGTTAGTTTTTAACGATGACAAATAGTGTTATTTCTTAGTTTTTAAATGATAATTATATATCTGCAAAATATCTTTCTAATTACTAGATTGATTAAGGTTATGACCGAAGTGGGTGGTTATCATTTTTTATTTGATGTAAATTTTTAAGATAAAATTTATTTGACTAAAATAGGATTAAATTAATTTTTAACATAATTTTAAAATACTTTTAATTCAAGTAAAAAATTATGTTTTTATTTTTAATTATATAATAAACAGATCATTGTTTTCGTGTACCTCTTTTGATGATTCATACAACTATTATCGCTCCTGTGTACTGTTATTGTTTTCATCATTTTTCTCATCGCGCATCACAACAGTTGATAGGTAGGAATTGAAAAAATAACAAGGGAATTTTGAAAGAGAGAAAGAGAAAAGTGGTTTAGCTGATTTGTGTTTAAATTATTCAATAGTGATTTTATTGAAGGATTTTATGTCATAATTGAGTTAAGAGACATTAGGTCCTCTCCCATGTTTCTTGCAAGATAGTGATTAATTTTATAGTAGGGTTTTATGTCATAATTGAGTTAGGCAACATTAGGTCCTCTCTCATGTTGTATGTTTTCATGCAATTTTTTTTTTTATTCTACACATGTACTTCTTAGTTCACGTGGACTAAAAATTAATTTTAATCGCAATGTTAAAAAAATTTTGATTTCGAACTTGATACTAAATTTTTTTTTATAATAACTCACAAATCCTATTTAACAAATTGATCAAGTTAAATTACTTTAATTGTAACATATTTATATTTATTAGTAACATTATTTTATAATAATTATTTTAATTTCATATTATTAATTTATCTTTTAAAGTAATTAATATGTCTGAAAAATTAATTCAATAAGTTGAAAATGAGGAAAAGTAAAGTAAATAATTTGAGTCCAAGAGAAAATTAAGTGTCATTATACATCTATGCACACAATACTACTAGTAATGGTAACTTTCATCTCTTAATTGCTTGGTGCCTCAAAAGTACCCTTAAAAAATTCACTGATCGTCTGGTAGAAGATCTCATTTTCATGGCAAGGAATTCGAGAATCTATCAGATGATATGTTTGCAAAGTGAAATGAATATTTTTGTTTGAAATGTTAATGTTTTCGTTACCTTTGTATTTTGGACCACGTGATTTGGTTGCTTTGGGGGGTCTGGCTGATCCCCAAAAAGATCTTGAATATCTATGAAACAGTATCCCCCCTACTTACCACTGCAGTGCACGGCATTGTCTTACTTTGTTTCATTCCTTCTATTGGCATTAACTAGCATGCGAAAACTTGTGTGTTTGTACTGAACCCGCAAAACAACAACTAGTAAAATTTAAAGATGGCCACATTGCCACAATTCCACTTCGGACAAAACGACAAGGAGACAACCCTCGCCCCTTTTCGTATATGTCTATGTATATTGGTGAAGATATGTATATGCATCTGTGTGACATGGCTTAGTTTACCAGAGTCATTTACAAGGATTGATCAGAAACAGAAATATTGGCATGAAAGGCTAAGTTCATTGCATTCTCACGAGTCATAGTACTAGAAAAAGTGTATCAAAGTAAGACACATTGCAATTCTCGTTATGTTGAATATGAATTCTACCTAACATTTCAAAAGATGGTGCTATATATCAATATATTCAATTTTGATACGACATATATGTTAAAAACAAGAGGATTTATAATACCAAGACCAACCCTTTTACACTTCCGGTTTTGCCCCCTACTTTTGAAGGAACAAGTATACGAGAGATATATTCGTTTCATTAGGTAGAAGACCTAACTACCACTGTTTGAACATGAGGAAAATTATACATTCTGTTGTGCCCACCGAGTCCAGAAATGTGAGCATCTTCCAATCAGTGTTATTAATTAGTTTCCATTAATTAGCTCTAGATGTAGTCAATCCTATTAATGAACCCTTAGCCTTGTAAGTCTTTTTTTCTTTCATATTTATTAGTCATGCATGTAGCACATTATCGTCAAAGATTGCAATCTTCAATAGGAAGCATTAGTAGAATATGGTTCCACAATAGCGTTGCATGGTGGAGGGTCTTGTTATCAGCTGATAGCTCCTCCTACCTGCGAGATCTATAGGTCAAAGATAGTTCATTGAACGCCCTTTTGTTCTTAGTCAAATTTGTATATAGAATTCTTAGTTTAGGAACTCAAATCACTTATTTGTCTTTGGCTAATTTGTTTAATTTAATTAACTAGTAATCCACAAAAGAACAATTCAATGCATATATTATAATTTATGTATATGGTGCAAAATATCCTGTCATTTCTGTATACGCAATACATATTTTTGTCCCTTTGCTAGCATACATACACAAACTCTCATCATCACCAAATTAAATTGCTATCTATATTAATGCATGTGCATGGCATGCCGTTGTTTTCTTCCCATATTTTTATACATGCATGCCAGGGTGCTTGTAATATTTTTTTAGTACTCGCATATCATATAAATCAGGGCAAAAAGAATTGGTGAGTTTGGTATATTTACTCCAGGGGCCAACTAATTATTAATGATAATGAACATCCTTCTTAATTACCAATCTAATAATGGCACGAAGTAGGGCATATTTATTTTATTTGGTTTTGAACAAATTAAATTAATCTGAAAGTAAATAATAGCATGGAAACGTGTTAACTTATAACTGTAGTGAGAGAAACACATTGGTGGGTATAATTATAGTTTCATTTCCCTGCTTGACTTTTCATTGATTACATGTTGCTTTAGATGCTCACAGACAAAATCTTGGCCTGAAGAAAATCCGGTGTCATGTCTCCCTCCGTTCCCATAGCTGTGATCTTATCATAATATTTACCCTTCCATGAACCACAAAAGTTGAATGTCAAATAGTTTGATGAATGAATGAGAAGTTCTCCGATCCCAAAAACATATCTTAAGAGATCCTTTTGATAATTACCTAATTTTGACTCACCTTCATCCTTAAAATAGGAAATGCCAATACCAAGTGGTAATATAAAATCAATGTGGGGTACGTAATTTGTATAGTACTTGACGAAACTTGACCAATATTGACAATCAACGGCCAGATCTCACTGATCCCATTTTGTTCCCCGCAAAGGCCCACAAAAATGGTCCAAATCTGTGGGTTCAAATGTTCAATTGCTGGGAATCTTCGTGATCATGATGATTCATACACAATCACAAGAAACACGTACGCAAATATTAATTAATTATTTTCCTTTCAATAGTTTCTTCACAATTAACATGGAACTTCATACTCTATTACCCGGTTCCCATTTCCATCGTATCTTTGAATTTGACATTTTGCCACCCCAATGTGAATTTTACTTCTTATCTTAAAGATGTAATATGATATCAACTCTTTCCAAATCCAACATTTTTAACTTTTTTTACTCTCACCTTTCCTTTATCTTTTTTTTTTCTTTCTTATCGCATCACCTCTTACGTGTACACCTTTTCTCATTTCCTTTCTAATTTCTGTCTTCCATGATCCACCAAGATATGTATACAGCCCCAAAATATGTGTAAAATCATTTTTGTATTTCCAACCCTCTCTTTCTCATGCAAGCTCCTCCATTCTCTATTTATATCTCCACTTCCCCCCTTCATCCTCTACCACAACACCAAACTTTTCCTCTTCTTCTCTTCCTCTTCAACACAGCTAGTCATAACCCTCCTCTCTCTCTCTCTCTCTCTTCAAAATGGCTCTAAACCACCCTCTTTCAACCTACTTCATACTACTGCTGATAACCATAACCCGTTTGATATCCATTGTAGGTAAAACCGAGCAGTGGAAGAAAGCTCCTATTCTACAAGAGCTTGACATTGACAATATATCCCTTAAGTTCCACGACGACCCTGAAACCATTCAAATAGCTTCTAGGGACTATGGCAACATCGTGCATGAATTCCCAAGATCTGTGTTTCGTCCATCTTCCATAGACGACATAGTCACCTTGATAAAATCCTCATACAATAGCCCTTCCCCTTTTCACATAGCTGCGAGGGGCCAAGGCCACTCCACCAATGGACAAGCCATGGCTCGTGAAGGGGTCGTGGTTGACATGGCCACCCTCAGAAAACAAAGAAATGGGGTTGCCATTAATGTCTCTAAGGACCCTTTGATTGGCCACTATGCTGATGTTGGAGGGGAACAACTTTGGATTGATGTGCTACATTCCACGCTTGAACATGGACTTGCACCAGTTTCTTGGACTGATTATTTGTACTTGACCGTGGGAGGGACACTTTCCAATGCTGGGATTAGTGGCCAGAGTTTCCGTTATGGTCCTCAAATCAGCAACGTTCACGAAATGGATGTCATCACTGGTATGAAGTTATAAATTTCTTAGAAGTTTCTCATACATAACGATTTTTAATTAAAATTCACATGTCATCTTGTTGGCTGCTATTTTCATCTTAGAACATGTTCAGATACCAAGTCTAAAAACGGTTTTAAGAATTTCTATATGCCAAAAAAACTCTTTATTTTATAGTAGACAAGTTGTTACAAGACCTTCTAATAAATTGTATCCACACACGACTCTTACTAACTAAAATTAGAAACAATACCTTATATTGTATTTAACTTTGAGCGTTTCTATTGCTTCATTTTCTTTGAGAACGAGTTCATTGTGTTGAAACTTGAAAAAATAGAAAGGTAAATTTTCATAAGCAATATCCCACCACTTATGCACACAATTATTGTTTCCGTTTTCTGTATTAAGCTATCCACCACTTAATGCACAACAATTATTGTTTCCGTTTTCTCTATTATGACATGACACGGTGTGTCGTAGATGTTCCGCTAAACATTATCATATTTGAATTCTTTAATAACATGTTTTATTGATACCTAGTTAATTAGTGTGGTTGTTGAACTCAAACATAATAGTCTTTGTCTACAATATGGGTGAGTGATGCAAACGTTTCCATGGGATTAGAATTAGAACCAGGTCCACGGTCATAGCTTTCTATTATTGATTAACTTTATGTTGGTCTAGTCTTTTACTTTTGGTCAATTAATTCATTCATATAGTTAAAAGACTGAAATGCCAACATGGAAAATGTTACATCTTATAATTGACGAATGCATGTATCTAAATTGTTTAATTTAATAAATAGTTTTTGTCATCTACTTGGTGTGGTTCAGGAAAAGGAGAGTTCGTAACATGCTCTTGGCAGAAGAACTTGGAGTTATTCCACGCGGTTCTTGGTGGCTTAGGACAATTTGGAGTTATAGCAAGAGCGAGAATTGCTCTCGAGCCAGCCCCCAAAAGGGTACGTTTATAGAGATTGACTAGAATTTTGTCTTGTAGTTTCCCTCCACCAATTCATAGTGACACCAAATCAAATTGTCATTTTTTACGGTGAATTGTCATTTTGTTTATCTACCACGTGGCTGCTGGCACAAAGGTACCGCACATTTCATTTTATGTTGGTGTATTAGTCACCCATGATAAACACTTCACAAATGAAAATAGGATGAGTTATACGTACGTAAAAGTTTTAACCATTGAATGTGGATTTTTGAAGTTGAAAGCATAATACGAGTTTGAAAGGAAAAAAAAAAAAGCAGAAGCCACTCTTGAAATTATAATGACTCTTAGATCTTAAGCTATATTAAACCAATAGAATTAGAAAAGGTCATATTATGAATTATCACCTTCTTTCAATGATTTAAAATCTTATCTCAGTTTTATTAAACCCAACACACAAGGGCTCTTTTCAAAAAGACTTTCAAATAAGTCTATGCATATATATTCTTACATCTGGACACGTCTAGCTAACACATGAAGCACAAGAAGTTTGAAGTCTAGAGAGTCAAGGGATTGATCATCACCACATGTTAGTACATATTACTGCCGTTTTTAAATTATATTAATTAATTTATCCTTCCAATTCTGATGGGACTCGTTGTGAGCGCTCGAGCACATATATACATTAATTCATACATACACAAATACGTCTCTCTCTCTTTATATTTCATTTTATTATATTCTATTTCGCTAGTAAGTTTACTGGTATAAGACATCAATGGTGAATTTTTGTTGCCATGCAGGTTAAGTGGGTCAGGCTACTTTATAGTGACTTTTCTGCTTTTACCAAAGACCAGGAACGATTAATCTCAATCAATGGAAGGAAACAAAAGACTGCATTGGATTTTCTGGAAGGGATTCTGCTAATGAACCAAGGCCCCATAAATAATTGGAGATCCTCTTTCTTCCCTATATCTGACCATCCTAGAATAGCTTCTTTAATCACTCAACACAGCATCATCTATTGCCTTGAAGTGGCTAAATATTATGATGACCAAACCGAGAAAAATGTGGACAAGGTACCGTCTAGTCATATATATTCTAGTTAGATCATATTTCTGTTCAAAAAATAAAAAGTTGGTCAAAAGCAAATGCCTAGATTTTGAGGGTTTTCTTGGATTGCACCTTAATATATAGTAAAAGATAAAAACAGTAATTAGTTACTAGGTGTAATTAATAGAGATGACAATAATATTTTTCTTTTCCTTTGCTGGCCTTTGTAGGAAATTAAAGTTTTGCTCCAAGGACTGGTCTATATCCCTGGATTTTATTATGAGAAAAATGTCTCATACGTTGAGTTCCTGAATAGAGTCCGAAGTGGAGAGTTGAAGCTTCAGTCACAAGGACTATGGGATGTTCCTCACCCATGGCTTAACTTTTTTATACCAAAATCACAAATCTTGGATTTTGATTCAGGAGTGTTCAGAGATATAGTTCTTAAAAGAAACATCTCCTCTGGACCAGTCTTGGTTTACCCCATGAATAGAAACAAGTAAGCGTTGAATGGATCACATTTTGTGTCATTAGTATATTTCAGGAGTGTGATGTAATTGTTTTTATTTTCTGACCATTCAACTACATTAAATTTAATTCCAGGTGGGACGATAGGATGTCAGCATCTATACCAGAAGAGGATGTGTTCTACACAGTTGGCTTTTTGCACTCAAGTGGGTTTGATAATTGGAAGGAATATGATGCTCAAAACAGAGAAATTTTGGAGTTCTGTAGTGATGCTGGCATTGAGGTTAAGCAATATCTTCCCAATCACACAACACAAGAAGATTGGTCAAACCATTTTGGTGCTAAATGGGTTACATTCTTAGAAAGGAAACGTCAGTTTGATCCAAGAATGATTCTATCACCAGGGCAGAAAATCTTCGACAAACAATTACAACAAGCATTTTAAATATTTTAATTCCAATTCCCCTAATAAATAAAACAAGTAAATTGTTATGGTGGGACTACCTTAATTAGATGGCTAGCTAGGCACATGGTTTTGTACATACTACCAAGAGTATGTTTTTGCTGTAAAATTTAATGTGGGGTTATAATTAAAGTGGCTTTGGCGTCTATCATGCTACATACTTATATATCTTAGATATGTTAGGTTGACAAAGTCGTATGTACAAGGAGCACAGTTGTCTCTTGCATTAATTGTCTGTCACCCAACTTGCTAGGTAGATAAGGATCGTATTGAAGATGTTCCAATTAAGGAGTTTTAAGGGCTTTGTCTTTCTTTATATGAATGATTACTTTTGTACTGGGGCAAACATATAAATGATTTTTAGTTAATTAGTGTATTTGGAAATTCGTTGAGAAGAAGAATTCATATTTGGAATGTGAAAACTATAATTATTAGCTTAAAATGACACTCGAAATGTGGAAAGTTCGAATCCATAATCACGTCTCGTATGCCATAATCAATCAAGTTATGCTAGTTAGGTATGATAACATAAAATAATATATACTATAATCTTCACCGTAAGCTTTTTCTTTTGTATTACATACAGATGGATGTAGATTAACTCGAGCTGCTAAAATAATACAAGTACAAGATTACCATTCAATTATAATAGAGACCATAAACAATGATATAATCCTTATGTTCATAGTTAATGAACCTAGACGTTGATTTTAGGTTACTTGCAAACAGATTATACGCCTCTAATGAAATAAATTTCCTCTTATATAAAAGTTTCATATTTGCCTATGTATCTAACAGATGCAAACTAACATTGTATCAATTAAGTTACTACTCATGACTTTAGGATGTTTGCATGTCAATTAAATTAAAATAAAACACACGCGCAGTATTAATTATAGGCACAAAGTAGGTTATAGTTGATAAAGCAAAAGACAATTTTCTTAGTGAGTTGGTACGATGGATATCCAAAAGAATATCACAAAAATCCATTTTTCGTTTAGTCACAATAAGTCACATCAACGAAAACCATCAGATTGGCTTATATTTTGTCGTTCTCGCATAGGAATAATTTTTGACTTTTGATTCAGATAGACCCACGAGGGCCTTTGTTGTCACAAAAGTATAAAGCAATGAGTTCTTCTACTAATCAAAATATGATTTAAATTAATTAAAATAGAACATAATTTAGCTGTCATTCTAATCATTTAAATTAACTAAGAAGATTTGATAATAAAACATTAAAAAAAATGCAATATGGTAACACGCATTCTATAATAATACAATAATTATCATTAAAATTTATTTTTATCCACATAATATATATAATATATATTTATATATTATTAAAAAGAATAAATATAAATATAAATTATAATTATATATATAATATATTGTTAAATCTCATTTAAAATTAATAGTAAAATTATATATAAATATATTATATATATATTATACTTATAATGACATTTTTTTTATATGTCAATATATATGATACTTTTTTATAATAAAATCTATAAAATCCAATTCCTTTAGTTTTTATTATCCATAAAATGAGATATTTTACTCAAAATTTTAAATAAAACAGAATTGTGTCCCATAATTAATTTACGTCGTTTTGATGTTTTAAATTAAAATTTATTAATAATTTATAAATTAAAAAATGTTGATATTACCCAATAAGTTATTAGATCGATTAAAATTGAAGTCAATTTCTAAGCAGAAAAAAGATATTCTGCTAAATATATAGCTAAATTATTTTTTTTTTATTTTAAATATTAATCATTAAAAAATCGATGAATATTTTTACTCCAATCACTGAGTTAAAAAGAATGATATTAAAAAATGTAAAAATATAAGCTAGTAAAGCTTAATTTTAATTAAAAATACTAAACATGGAGGATTAATTAATTGGAGGTTATTAATTTGGTTTGAGGCCTCCATAGGGATTAGGAAGGCTATTGTATAGGAATGCATAATTATGTTGCAACACTTAATTCCAGCTTGCAGGCAATTAGGAGACAAGAAAAGTTAGGAGCTGCCCCCATGAATTCCATTCCCACCATCCTTCTCCTCTTTTTTTTTTGACTTTTTTGGTGCCTCCATTCACTATATATGCTTTCAGAATTCATGTCTCATTGTTGTGGAAAATCCAGGACAAGATCCCAACATTCACACGCTGTGAATTATACTAATGTTGACAATAGATTGAAAAACAGCATCATCGTGTAGCACCTAATGATAATCATTAGCTCCTTTCTCTCCTTCCTTTTCCAGTGATTCTAAAATATGGGGTGTGATGCCTCTATATTTAATTTTGTCCCTTTCTCTTTTTTTTATAGGAACCTTCCTCTTTTATTTTAAAATTAGGAAAGAGAGAGTTAATTTAGGGTTCATATGTTTAAACTTTATCGCAACTTTCCTATAAGGAGAGCCGTGACGAGAAGAAGACAACAAAAAATTAAATAGCTTTTTAAAGTCACCGATCATTTTGTCTATATATAGATAGTAAAAAGAACATTTTTAATATTATCGGTAGTTAATTTGTATGGTCTATTAAGAAGTTTGTTTTATCTTGCGTCGGTTAACTAGATAGTAAAAAGAACATTTTTAATATTATCGGTAGTTATATAATGATTTGTTTGAATCATAAATACTTAATGATTCTATATTGTTTATTTTTTTAAAGTCCTTTTTTTAATTATATATATATATGTCTGGTTTAACTTATATATATATATATATATATATATATATATATATATATATATA